GTAGCTGTTGTACCACTCATTGTACGATCCAGATGCGACAAAATGGTCGCATCTCGGTCGAGAAAAAACCGTGGCTGCTGCGATATTTTCAGCGACTGACGTGATGAAAAATAATTGCACGACAGGCAGTATAAGTGTTGTGCGACTTTGCATGCACTCGTAAGACCCCCGAACGAGTGTTGCACGAGTATTTTCATGTCGTACGATGATGCGTCCTGTCGTACGAGTCCGTTGTTCCACCCTAAGACTATTGGAAGACCTGTCTTGCCCCCTTTGCAACGTTGTACGATTTTTTTTCACCCCCAATATAAGCTCGAGAACTCCTGAGCTTTCATCCCAAATGTCTGGACCATCCATACTGTAAACATGGCTGCTGCTCGACCAATAGCTCCTGGGAGGCTCTTGCATTTGCTAAGTCTGAGAAGGCAAATCCAAAACGTTCAAGACAGACATGTCATATTGATGGCCTTACTCATCCGTAGACGTCAAAGGCATGCAAGGCAAAGAAGAAGATGGTGGGTCAAACCCTGGATTGAGAGACGTGTGCTGTTTGGACAGTATGATAATCTGATGACGGAGTTGCAAAGAGAATGTCAGGATGACTTCCTGAACTACATGAGGATGCCACCAGAAACGTTCCTTGAACTGTTGCAGCGCATCACTCAGAGGATAGAGAAGTCCTATTGCTACCGGCAGCCACTGGATCCTGGGCTCAAACTGGCCATCACCTTGAGATATCTTGCGACCGGCAACAGCTACAAAACCCTTCAGTATGCCTTCCGTGTTGCCCATAATACCATCTCTCTGTTTATACCAGAGGTGTGCCAGACCATCATCAGTGAATACCAAGATGAAGTATTTTCCTGTCCAATTACCCCAGATGAATGGAGAGAAGTGGCCCGGACTTACGCTGACAGATGGAACTTTCATCATGTCTGCGGAGCCTTGGACGGAAAACACGTGGCCATCAGAAATCCACCAGGCTCTGGTACGATCTACTACAACTACAAGGGTTTCTACAGCCTCATCCTCTTGGCTCTAGTTGATGGCAATTACAAGTTCCTCTGGGCTGACGTTGGTAATCCCGGTTCATCATTGGATGTCCAGGTCTTCAACCACAGCCCGCTGAGACGTGGACTGGAGAATGGTACTCTTGGCCTGCCAGATCCAGAGCCCCTGCCAGATGATGACCGAGACATCCCTTACTTCTTAATTGGGGACGACGCCTTCCCTTTCAGGACATGGATGCAGAAGCCGTACTCCAATCGTGAGCAGACCGACGAGGAGAGAATCTTCAACTACCGTCTCTCGAGGGCTTGCCGTGTGGTGGAGAACAGCTTTGGCATCCTTGCCCATCGCTGGAGATGCTTGTTAAGTACCCTATAGCTTGATCCAGAAAAGGCCAGGACAGTCATTATGGCCTGCATGTGCCTCCACAACTTAATGAGAGATCGTTTTCCTGGGATTCAGAACATTGACATTGACCATGAAGATGAGTTGGACAACCACATCCCTGGGGCATGGAGAAACGCAGCAGTTCTGCAGGATGTTGAACGAGTTGGCGGAGGCTACCAGGCAAACAAAGAGGGCAAGAAGCTGAGAACTTACCTGATGCACAACTACAACAGTCCAGTTGGAAGCCTGCCCTGGCAACAACACATGATATAGACTGCCACTTGGCGCACTACTTGGGATACAGCACAGACTCTGCCATACAAATGGCATGTAAACTTCGATGATGA